TTTAATGTCAAAATAAGAATATAAAGAGTGGGTGTGACAAACTGTAAGTGGCTGATGAACAAGAGGAGAGGAAGTGTAGAGGAAAACAAGAATGGAACGATGGAATATGGAAGGGAAGCGAGGAAAGAGACTGAGGAAAAGGAGGTAAGAGGGAAGAAAGTAGGACTTTTCAAATCTCCTTTTCTCTACAGAGCTCCATCTCACTGCCATTCACACAGGTTGCTTCTCATTGTTCGTCAGGAACACCTGTTTTTAAGCTCCAGTGTGAGAATATCCACCGGCTAAATGTTCCCGCTCTGCAGGTCAACCTGGACTTTCATCTCCTTGACCCAACAAGAGAAACTCTCTCTTCTGGGAGTAGATGGGATGGGACCAAGCATGTGTAACTGTGTTTAGGTATTTCTACATCCATCTATATATTGTGTGTGTCTGTGTGTGTAACATGATCTCGCTCTGTCTGGCTGTGGGCCAGCGTCCTGTCGATAGTCTACACCTGCCTGTAATGTAGACAAACACACACCTTGTCAGCTAGTCACCCCCAAGGGGCCACCCGAGTTCGACTGTGCGAAACCACTTCATCAACACCGCTCTTACATCGGGGGGGAAACGCGGAACAAACGCTCGCCAACAACTCGGCCCTGCCGCTTAACATCAACGGACTCCTCCTTGCACATGAAATGTCACACACAATGCTTCTTCCAACAGTTCAAGTTGCACAAAAGGGCCCTCTCAACTAGTTTAATATGTCACGCACGCCTCAGTGCACTTGTCTTGCGCCAGGGGAGGAACAGCCATTGCGGATTTCTGAGTCAATGAACTGTAAAGACGTGGCCTCGTCCCGGTCACGGACAGCACTGTACGGACGTGCGTCCTCTGCGGCCGTTGAGCACAGAGGCTGAGCCGACATGTTGACACCCACAACACGACCTGTAGCTGTGTAAGCACACCCACGACGTGTACGAACAGTCAAGCGAGCAGGGCAAACTATTCCTGGCTGAAGCTGATGAAGCAGACTACCTCTAAGCCGTTCCTCGAGCTAAGTCACCCAAGCAGGCGTAATAACCATAGTCTCCCGTGTCCGCCGCCACACAGCGGAGTAAACGCACGAGGTGATGCTGATTTGGCATTCTGACAGCAGCACTTTTTACCCCGACAGGTCAGAGACGTCAGTCAGCTTCCAACCGGGGGCCACGGGACCTTCGAAAGATCAGATGACAAAGCCCAAAGGCAGATGATATCACAAGTCATTTCCTGTCAAGTGTTTGAAACCAATGCTGCTGAAGGCATGCACAGTCATCTGCGGAAACATCTCGCCTCCACACACACAGGGAGACACAACTTAAAGAGGACTAGGACAACGAAGGACGACAATGCAGATCTCGGCTGTGAGCAGAGCACCATTAAAGTATGAACCACTAATTAATCACAAGTCAGCCGCCACAAAAGACTTCTCTCACCTTTACGCTTCTCCTTTTTCAAGAGCACAAACCAGTCAACCTGCATACTGATGGGCTTCTTTTAAAAGTCATCTGTGCTCTGCGTTATAAATGTGACAGCTGTCATTTGCGCTGTCCACCTTTTATTGCTCAGCACACTCCTGCATGTGAATGTGCTCTGTTTTAGGTCATCAGCAGGTGAGTCTGTGGGAGGAAAACAGTGCTGCGTGTTTCAAGTTCTCCCCCTGGAACAAAACAAGGGAGCAGACCATTCAAAGCCCCTTGAGGGACAGTGGAAAACAATAAATAATGGATGTGAAGCGGGTCGAGCTGAGAGCTGCCCATAACAGCAAGGCAATAAAACAAATACAGGGGCGCCTTACAAAGCAAGTGGCAGCGCTATTACACAGATCCTGAGCAAATATCATGTTCATGTATCTCCAGGCACACATAATGCTGTCAAATAAAGCTGATTTCCCTTTCTAATGTGCTGAGGGTCTATGTGCACTGTGTGATGTCTGACAGGGAGGCACAGGGTTTAAACCCGGGTAAACAAACCTGCACAAATCCCCCCTGCCTCCACACATTTATGTCACATTAAAGTGAATTTAATGATTTGTGTGTGTGTGTGTGTGTGTGTGTGTTCATCAGCAGGCGCTTCACTGTGTGACACCTTCAGGGGGAAGGCTGAGATTGTGGTTTTAAGACAATCTGACTCCACCACTAGACCGGTTCAACCTGTTAAAGCCAAGCGTGGAGGGATTAGACCTTCACTGGCGAGCTAACCTCCTCTTCCCTCGGTCGCTCCTGCGTTTCCTTCCGCCCTCCCTCCCCGTGTTAGCAAGTTAGCCGACTAGCCGTCTATCCTCCTCCTCCTCCTCCTCCTCCTCTTCTACAATGCAACTACTCCAATGTCTGCTCACCACCGACCGGTACTGACCTGGAGAGATGCTTCAGGATCTGCTTCTTGATGAGTCCGGCCATGGCGGCACCAGAGTCCGATATTTATCCGAGGAGGAGCCGCCGGCCGGTTGAGCTAAGCTAACCACTAGCTCTGTCTCTCTCTCTCTCTCTCTCTCTCTCCTCTTCTCCTCCCCCCTTTCTCCCCCTTTCTCGAGGTATAAACACACAGCTCAAATTCTCATCCCCGCGTCAGTCTTCATGTTTTCACTGCCGTTCCCGCTTCACTCTCCGAGAGAATGAGTGTGTGTGTGTGTGTTTGTTTGGGGGGCATTTTTCAGGAGTCCTCGGCGACAAACACACAGCATCTCTTTAGGCCATTTCATGCAGATATAAGTGATTTAGAAAAAAATAAAAGAACCGGAGCAGATCTTCTGCAATATCCATACAGCGAACACCTGGGCAGCGTCGGAGGGACGTCGTCTGTTGTCACTGCGTCAGAGCGTCAGGGCGGGGCGTCGGGATGCGTTCACGGTACGCTCGGAAACCCCTAAACGCCTTTGAGATGTCTGTGTTTAGAGGAGATACTGGAATAGAATAGAATAGACTGACACCTTGCATCTGGAAAGGATTCGTTGTTCTCTTAGTGACAGATTAAAGGACTTCAAAAGGATGTGGCAAC